CGGCTTCTCAGGCGGCGCGTGGGCTCTTGAGAGACCCCACCGCCCTGTGAGAGAGTGTCTTTAACCCCTCGGGCAATACAGGCGTTATGCTCCCCCCCCCGTTCCTTCCCCCTGCAGCGCCCCCCCCCCCCAGAGCGGCCCTGGCACTGCCGCAGTCTGCAGTGTTTCTGGCACCACAGTCTTGCACGGTGGGGGGCGGGGGGCGTCACGTTATGCCACCCCCCTCCCCCCTCATGACACCAGTTATCGCCACGAATAAAACAATGCTCTCCGAGATCGGGGAAGGACAAAGTACCCCTACCGCTACCCCTGCCTCGCTTTCCCTCTTTTGGGCCTCCTGGGAAGCTCTCGCCGTCACCGTTGGCTTCGCCTCGAACTTCTGGCCAGAACGCACACAGGGAGAGTCCAGCGGAGTGCCTCCGTGAGCAGACCTAAACGGGACCTCGATCCCTCCCTCCTCCTCCTCCTCCTCCTCCTCCTCCTCCTCCTCCTCCTCCTCCCCCCCCTCTTCCTCCTCCGTAACAGAGCTCCTTGGCGCTGCCACACGTGCTACTGCCGACAGTTTTCGACGGTAGCGGTATCGCTGCCATCTAGTCTCCCCATGAGAAGGCCCGCCCCCTCGCACTTCCCCTGGGGCTCACCGCCAGCCGGTGCCCCCTCTCGCCGGCCAGGACCATCGGGGGCATCGAGGCGGTCTGCATCGAGCACTACGCGGAGGCCGGCCCCTGTGCTGTGGGAGCCTGCGAGGAAGGAGAAGACCCTCTCTCCTCCCTCCACTTTCTCCTCCCTCCCCCTCCTCCTTCCCTGCTCCTCCGCCTCCTCCTCCTCCTCCTCCTCTTCCTCTTCCTCCTCCTCCTCCTCCTCTTCTTCCTTGTTTTCTATTTGTTTTCTCTCCTTGCAGATAGCTCCTTCCTGCCGCACCACTAGACCTGGTCGGGCGTTTCGCCTGAGACCTCCTCGCCAGTTATGATCCTGAAGCTTGAAGTTCGCAACAGTTTCAAAGATGTAGCCTGGCTGTTTTTCACAATGTGACTCTCGCCGTAGCGCCGCGCACATAAACAATTTATTGCGAAGGCCTTACGGCCAGTGCCGCCGACCCTGAAGACGACGAAGATGAAAGGGAGGGGGGGGTGCAGGGGGGGAGGAGGAATGGCAGGAGGGTGAGGAAGGGGTGCGTCGGTCGATTTCTTCTCGTCTGTTATCTCCTTTTTGCTGCGGCTTATCCTGCCTGAGAGAGGGATGAGGATGAGGAGGAGAGGGAAGAGGGGGAGGGGTAGAAGGAGGAGAAAGAGGAGGGGAAAAGATGAAGAGGAAGAGGAGGAGGAACATAAGGAGTATGAAGAGAAGGACGAGGAATAGGAAGAAGAGGGAGGTCAGGAGGAGTAGGGGGAGGATTCAGGAAGAAGAGGAGGACGGACAAAACATGAGGAGGAATGGGAGAAAACAAATACAGAGGAGGAGGAGGGAGAGGAGGAGAGGAAGGCGGAGGAGGAGGAGGAGGGGGAGGAGGAGGAGGAGGAGTAGTAGAAGGAGCAGGAGGAGGAAGATGAGGGGGACAGATGATGAGGAGGAGGGGGAGGAGGAGGAGGAGGAGGAGGAGGAGGAGGAGGAGGAGGAGGAGGAGGAGGGAGAGGAGGAGGAGGGGAGGAGCATCTTGGAGCCTTCGTGGGGGTGTTCTTGGAGAGCTCCTGGGACGTCTAGGAGGCTTCTTGGATCGTCTTTGGACCATCTTGGCCGTGTTGGGCCGATATTTGAGCGACACGGGGCTCTTGAGTGCAATTTTGTTAGCCATCGTCGGCATTCTGGGTTCTTTTTGGGGCTGTTCGATATGTCGGAGCCGCCCGGGGGAAAACGAATCTGGGTGGCGACCCCCCCCCAGGACACCCCCTGGGACCCCCCCCCGGGACCCCCCTGGGAGCCCTCCCGGGACCCCCCTCCCCCCGCGGGGAAGGGATTAAAGGGAAGGGGCTTTCCTTCGACTCCAAGACGACGTTGTACAATTTCGCTGTGGATGGCACGCTTGAGGAGGGCCCATAGAAAGGGACGGGGGACGACGGATACGGCGAGGAGACGACTGTGACGACGACGAAGACGACGAGGAGACGACGGAGACGAGAACTCGAACGGAGAAGCCCCTCGCACACGCCGATAGGGTCGGCGGGTTTTCAAGGCTGGAGGCCGGTTCGTTTTCACAATCTCGCCTTAGCTCCGCGCATATTCTTTTTAAACAGTTGCAACAGCTTGAAGGATGGAGGCCAACTTCTTTTCGAAGTGTGGCTTTCGCCTCAGCGCCGCGCGCATCCACGCGACCCAACCTTCATCGTCCTATGCAAAAGCAGTTAGTTTTATTCGGTGGATATCCATCCGACCCAGCCTTCACCATTGCAAACAGTGCAATTCTGTTCACATCCGTACGACCGCACCCTCACCATCATATTGAACAAGCTGTTCTTCGGCGCATATCCATGCGCTCAACCCTCACCATTCTGCGCAATACATAGAATTCGGTGCACATCCGTCCGACCCAACCCTCACCATCCGATGCAGCATACATTATCCGGTGTACACCCGTACGACCCAACGGTCATCACCCGATGTGGAACATAGTATTTGGCGTACATCCATCCGACCCGAAGGGCACCATTATATGCAACAAGTATAGCTCCGTGGACATCCATCCAGCCCAACCCGCAGCCTGCAATGTGCACATTACCCCGTGACGTACTCAACATTGATACACATATATATAATATATATATATGTATATATATTTATACATACATATATACATATATATATATATATATTTATATACATATATACACATACGGGACCGCGCACTGCAGATAAACATGTTGAAGGACCCGCAGTGCACATGAACTCCCAGAAGTACGCAAGAAAGTATGCAGGAATAAACCAGAGAGACGGAGACAAAAGCATACAGTGGGGTGTGAAGGAGGGACATCCATGTTCAGTAACAGCACCAATGCCGAGCGCTACATGCGCGGGAAAGAACAGCGCCACGCGCTCCCTCTGTGGCAGAACAGCGCGTCGCGTTGAGCGTGGCAAGCGCGTGGGATGGCATGGCGGGCCAGAGGCAGCTGAGGATGGGAGGCCACGCGGACAGCAAACAGCGCCGTGCGCTGCGTGGCGCAGCGGCTTCCTGCGAGCTGCGATGGCGACAGCGCCGAGCTCTGCGCGACGGGATAGCGCCGCGCGCTGTGGGAACCCTTGCCATTTTGGATGCAACTACTTGGCGTCAGTTGCAGTCCTCGTCGCGACCTCCCAGGAGCCCACGACGGTGGCCACACTTGCGCAAGCCGCAGCCGCGCAGGGTGCCGCGAGGTCCCCCAGCCGGGTCCGCGTGCCGCTCCGCCCCGCCGGACCTTCCTGGAGCTCACGGCGGTGGCGACGGTTGCGCGCGTCGCGGCCCCCCCAGGGAGCCGCAGGGTCTCAGCAGCATCCCCGTGCAGCTCCACTCCGCGCGACCTCCCATGAGCCCGTGAAAGTGGCGACGGTTGCGCACTTCGCAGCCACGCAGGGAGCCGCAAGGTCCCAACTGGGTCTGCGTACCATTCCACTCCGCTGGACGTCCCAGGAGCCCAAGAACGTGGCGACAGTTGCGGAATCTGCAGCCGCGCATGGAGCCGCGAGGTCCCAACTGGATCCGCGTACCACTCCACTCCGCTGGACCTCCCAGGAGCCCACGAAATTGGCGACAGTTGCGCGGGTCGGATTCGCGCATGGGGGCGCGAGGACCCAACTGGGTCTGCGTACCACTCCACTCCATTGGACTCCCAGGAGCCCGCGAAAGTGGCGACAGTTGCCCACTTAGCAGTCACGCAGGTAGCCGCAAGGTTCCAACTGGGTCTGCGTACTTGTCGTTCGTGTTCAGATGCAGATTCAGCCTCCGTAGTGACGTCCATGGCGTACGCGGACATGCAGCATGAATCCGCACGCTCTTTCTCTGCCGTAGAGCGATTCCTATCTTCCTCTCCAGCTTTTCGACTACCTGGTGCTTGGAGAGGCCGGAGCCAGGGAGACCGCGCCAGACAGCAGCTCGCTTTCTCCTTTTCCAGGTTGCGCTGAGCTTGCCGTCGGGATTGCAGCACCAGACGTAGAGGACGGTGGTGTTGTTGCTGGTCGTACTCAGCGTCGTAGATGATGGGGCCAGGTCAGCGCGTAGTGCCTGATGGACCCGGTGCGGCACGATGCCGCTCTGGTTGGTGACGAGGGCCGTCCGCTTCCCTGCAGTGGGGAGCGTCTTCGAACCCTTCTAGACGTTGCTCACGCGCAGCTGCTCCTCCTCCTCCACGATGTTGACTTCCTTCTCTGCCTCGTGTCGTCCTGCGCGTAGACGTCCACGGAAATTCGGAACCCGCAGTCGGCGCAGAACCCCATGTGGCAGCACGCTTGGCCAACCTTTGGCCGCATGAGTAGCACTCCGAGGCGTTCGGGGGTTTCGGCTGGCACGCTGGCGGCGTCTTCAGCACGACGGTGTACGCGGCACCACTCGCGAGGTTGACCGTCGCGGGCTTCGCCAGCGTGAGCTGCGCAGTAGGTGTCTCATTCGACAGGGATGCCAGGGCGGGCGCGATGACGCCCAGAAGACGCGACCTCATGACCTCGCGGTTCTGAAGTCGCTTGGGGACGTTGATCTATCTTTTGGGGATCAGATGCTAGATGGCGTCCACCAGGCTGGGCTTCTTCTCGGCCGTGTTGATGTCCGGCACCTTGCCCTTGCGGGGTACCTTGGCGGTGCCGAACTCGCTGTCAGCAGTCTCAATAGCCTGCCACTCTTCAGGCTGCAACTTGATCGCGGGATGTCCCGCACTGCTCGTCACGAGCTTCTGTGTATGGTTCCCGATGCGGATCTGGCGCTTCCAGAGCGAGACGTTGATTTTGGAGGGGTGGATGACGTCCCTGCCGATCAGAAGGCCGAGCGTCGTGCTGTCCACGACGCTGAAAACGATCCTGCCTGCGCATCCGCACGGTGCGAGCGACGCGGTCACGCGCAGCTTGCTCGGCAGGGTCCCGTCGTTGCCGAACCTGTAGGTATCGTCCTCGGCCTCCACCAGGATCTGCTCGCCCAGGCCCATTTTGACGAGCATCTTCTTGTAGTCATGGACTGGCCTGCCACCCAGAAGAGGCACGCCGTGTTCACCACGCCGACGCCTTGGTCCTTGGCCTTCTTATTAATCGCTTCGCCCATTCCGCTGGCCCACATGTTGGCGTGGTCGTAGCGAGCGAAGGAGGAGGAGGAGGAGGTGGTGGAGGAGGAAGAGGGGAGGATGAGGATGAGGAGGAGGCCTCTCGATGGCTTCTGGAAGCATTTTGGTTGTGGACAGGACGCCTCTTTGGGAGGCTTCTTGCGGTCTCTTGGGAGGCCTCTCGGGGGCCTCTTGGCGTTTTTTGTTGTCAGATTTAATGGGCCTCACGGGGGCCTCACTGGGGCCTCTTGGGGCCTCTTGGGGGCCTCTTGGGGGCCTCTTGGGGGCTCTTTGGGGCTTCCAGGGGGCCTCTCGGGGCCGAGAGGTCGAAATGTCTTTCAGGGTCCCTGTCAGGGCCCGCTCTTGGAGCCCGCTTGGGAACCTTTTGGGCCGTCTTGGAGAGGCCTCTTGGGCTGCCTTGGGTCTTGGGACCCTCTGGGGCGGTTTTGGGGCCCTCTTGGAGGCCTCTTGGGCCGTGTCTGGGCGATCTTGGGGGCCTCTTGGACTGTCCTGGAGCGCGGGTAGGCCGAAGAGGCGAGAACGCCAAAATCTTTCAGAAACCAACGGCAATCAATTACTGTTTGCCTCTGGGGGCTCTCTTGGGAGGTGTCTTGGTGGCCTCTTGGGGCGGCTTATAGGCGTCTGGGACTATCTGGAGGCCACCCCGAGCATCTTGGACCGATCGTTCGAGGACTCGGAGTCCTCTTGTCACTTGTAGGAGGTTTTGTCCTGCAGTGAGGCACTGGTGTCGAACATGCTTCGTGTCCTCCTCCTCCTCCTCGTCCTCCTCCTCCTCCTCCTCCTCCTCCTCCTCCTGCCCCCCCCGCGCCAGTCCCTAGAGCTGGTGCCCTACACCCTCGCGGAGCCCCCGCCGCCCCCCTGGCCGCCCGCGTCCCGCGGGCGGGGAGGGCCCGGCCGCGCCTTCCAGCCAAGAGGGATCCGGCTGCTTCCGGCGGAGGGCCAGGGGTGGGGGGGGGGAGGAGGTCGGGGGCGGCAAAGAGGGGGGTGATGACCAGGGGGGGGGTGGATTTCATGGCGTGGGCTATGATATTTCCTCAGATTTCATGGCGCCTTTTCTTGTTTCATTACGTCCCTGGCCCCCCCCCCTGGGCAGCGCACACGCCGCCGGCCATGATTTGCACACCCCCTCTTGGACGCCCCCCTCTTTGCCGCTCCCGAGAGGGGGAGGAGGGCAAGCTAGGTGCGCTCGCGCCTCGCCTGACATCCTATCCTCCCTCCCATCCCTTCCCGTGGCGCCGACGTTTCTCGATCCGCGGACGCGTGTCATGACCGACCTGCGACCCACACGGAAAGACTACTTCGTGTGATGCGCAATCGGAAGAAAGGGGAGTTGCGTGCACAGGAGGAGGAGGGGGAGGAGGAGGAGGGGGAGGAGGAGGAGGAGGAGGTGGCGGGTGAGAAGGAGGATGAGCGGGAGGAAAATAATGAGTACGAACAGCAGCAGCAGAAATTAACGTGGAAGGATCGGGAGGGAAAGGAGGACCAGGGGAAGGCGGAGGATAGGGAATGAGGAGGGTGACCACAATCAAGAAATATTCGGACTACAAAAAAGGGCCCGTGCTGGGGCGAGACGAGCAGCAGCAGCAGTAGGAACTGGAGTGGAAGGAGCGGGAGGAACATGAGGACAAGGGGAAGGCGAATGAGGGACAGTGATGGGGGGACCACAATGAAATAAGACTCGGATCCAGAGAATGGCCCCCGGGGCGAGAGCGCCATTCTTAACGATGGGAGCACAGTGCCGATCCGAAAACGAGGCCCACGTTGCAGCGGGAGCACGATTTTGAAACACCGGAAACATTTGGATCGTGACAAGCCATGAGACCAATCCGTGCCTTCAATCTTGTGTGTAAGAAACAGCAGGCGGAGGGGGCGGGAGATCTTCCGGACAATTTCAGGGGAGGAGGGAGGGCAGCATTCATATGGCTTAGGTGTGGAGAAGGAGGAGGAAGAAGGAGGAGGAGGAGGAGGAGGAGGAGGAGGAGGAGCAGGTGGATGAGAAGGAGGAGAAGGGGGAGGAAGAAGATGACGGGGAGGAGGGGGGAGGGAGATATCGGACATTAGTTTCCTTTCTCGCATCTCTTCCCATTGCGCAGATTTGTTCTCTATCTGCGCACGGGTTTCAGAGCCGACCTGGAATTCCACAAAGGGCCCCTATCGTGTATTGCGCAATCGGAAAAAGGAAGCTGCGTACACCGAAGGAGAAATAGGAGGAGGTGGTGGCGGGTGAGCAGGAGGATGAGCAGGAGGAAAAGTAGGAGGATGAGGAAGGAGGACGAGGACCAAGAGCAGCAGCAGGAACGGGATTGGAAGGATTGGGAGGAGCAGGAGGAGCAGGGGGAGGCGGAGGAAGGGAAAAGAGGGGGTCGACAACAATGAAAAAAGATTTGGATGCAGAAGAGTGACCCGCGCTCGGGCGAGAGCGCCATTTGGAACGATGGCAGCACAGCGGCAATCCGAACATGAGGCCCGCGCTGCAGCGGGGACACCAATTTTGAAACACCGAAAACAACAATCATATGGCAAACACTTTGGACAACCAACTCTGCACAATCCGGTGTGTGAGAAATAGGACCATCCCGACATGGTCAGGGGAGAGAGGAAAGTGTAATTCAGATCGTGCAAATATGGAGGGGCGGACGACGACGATGATGATGATGATGATGATGATGATGATGATGATGATGATGATGATGATGATGATGATGATGATGATGATGATGATGAGGATGAGGATGAGGATGATGATGATGATGATGATGATGATGATGATGATGATGATGATGCTGCTGCTGCTGCTGCTGCTGCTGCTGATGATGATGATGATGATGATGATGATGATGATGATGATGATGATGATGATGATGATGTGATGATGATGATGATAATGATGATGAGATGACGAGGAGGAGGAGGAACAGGAGGAGGAGGAACCAGGAGGAGGAGGAGGAGGAGGAGGAGCATAATCTCAGATCAGATCAGATCAGATCGACTCTGGGGGCCGAGTTCATGAGTCACCTCATGCCGACAGAAAGTTGGCCCCTGAACGGCCTTCGCAGGCGGCTTCACTCGGGTTCCAGCCTCTGCTGGCACGGCCAAGTGCTCGCGCCCCAACCCGCCCTGCGGCGCAGGCATACGGGCTCAAGGGGGGCGGCAGCACGGCTCAACAGACGGCCCACGAGGCCCTACAAAATTCCAAAACAACACCCGAGATTTCGCCCGTGGTTTAGGCTTTGGTTTTGCAACACCCCGCTCCTGAGCCATACATCGGAGAGGGTCCCCAGGAGCTCCTTCCAGGAACTGATTTTTAGCTGGGCGAGCAACGACATATGTACATGTACGCCCTCCGCGGTCTTTCCTGCACGAACGTCCGCGTTGACACGCACTCCAGGGGAAGCTAACCGCGTACGCGTACATATGTTGCTGGTCTCTGATTAGCGAGTCGGAACGATTTAGGCCCCCCCGAGGAAGAAGAGGAAGCAGCAGCAGCAGCAGCAGCAGCAGCAGCAGCAGCAGCACTCACAGGAGGAGGAGGAGGAGGAGGAGGAGGAGGAGGAGGAGGAGGAGGAGGAGGAGGAGGAGGAGGAGGAGGAGGAGGAGGAGGAGGAGGAGGAGGAGGAGGAGGAGGAGGAGGAGGAGCAGAACAGCTACCTGGCGGTGCGGGCGGACCTCGGAGTCCTGGCGCTGGAGGGCCTGCGCGAGCTGCTCGCGCCCTTGGGGCTGGAGCTGAGCGACGACGAGACGCTGGTCTGGTCTCCCGCGGGGATCCAGGCTGTCCAAGCCGAGCTCGCCCCCAAGTATGTGGCTGTGCTCCCAGTCCTCGGCGCGCAGCTCAGGGCGCCCGGAGACGCCGACGGCGCGGCGCTCCCGCTCGGCGGACAGGGCTGCGGGCTGGACGGGGCCACGGAGCGACTCGGGGAGCTCTGGGCTGGCCTCGAGCGGCTGCTGAAAGGAGGGCTCAAGAAGCAGGCCGCGGGCGCGCTGCTCAACACCTACGCCGGCAACGCCAGCCAACACCACCTGCAACTGGCGCTGGCCTCGGCGGAGGAGACCTTCCGCTACGACACCGCGCTCAGAGGCTGCTGGGAGAGCCTGCTGCGACGGCCACTGGGTCCGAAGGCGAGCGAGCTGCTGGGGCTGCCGGCTAAGCTGGGCGGGGCCGGCGCGCAGTGGGCTGCCACGAGACGCGCGGCGGCGTGCTGGGCGGCCTGGGCGCAGGCGGCCGCGGAGGTCCAGCACGACCTGGGCATCTCCGGCGTTTCCACCCTCGGAGACATGCTGGCGGCCCTGCCACAGGCCGCGGCCGCGCTGGAGGCGACGCAGGCTGAGCTGGCGCGCCAGGGCGCTGACCCTGAGCCCGCGGCGCCCCTGGAGGCCTTGCTGGGCCACCCGACCAAGCAGAAGACCTTGATTGCTATGGTGCATAAGATAGCCCACGCTGTTGCAAAGCAGCGAATGCACCACTGCAGCCAGGCGGCGCTGCTCTCTGCCGGGGGGCCAGGCGCTGGGGCTTACTTGAAGTGCCCCACGGAGCTGGCCTGCACTCTGGAAGACCCTCACTTGGAGACCGCGACCCGGCGCCGGGTCCAGCTGCCGCGGCCCGAGTGCGCCGCCGACGAGCTCGTGCGAGCTGCGGCGACTTCCCAGAGGCACTTCAGATCTTGTTTCAAGATCGTACATCTTAGATCTCTTTAAAAGATCTCAATTAACAAAACAGATCTGGATCTCTTTTTAAGATCTTAACATCATATATCATCTCATATATCATCATTTAACATGCAAATTAGAGGCCCCACACATCATATGTGTATACACGTCTGTACTCGCGCATTGTCCATGCACGTCGCCGCAATGTTTGGGCAGGTGTACGCCGCTGCCGCTTTTCTCATGCCTGCCGCCCCGCGGCCGCCTCCCGCGGGAAAGCCCGCCCCGCGCACAAAGAAATGGGAAAGAAAAAAACGAAGAGTGGTGCTGACCCCGACGAGCTTTGGAGGATACTTAAAAAGCACATCAAGACCCCAGAGGACTTGCAGTGCACAAAAGACCTCGGGGACTCGACTTGTTGGCGGCGGGAGGGCGGATGGGGAACGAGAGGGAAAGGGGGGAAATGGGGGATATAGTAAAAGTGGAAGCAGAATTGAACATGATCGGGAGGACGAGGAACGTTGATTGCCCCGCCCGCACCGCCCCTCCCCCGTCAGGACCCACAAGATACGAAGCGTCTCCTCGAGTGGAAAGATCTCATCGACGAGCTCCGCCAGTTGCTGCATCCAGCCCAAAACATGACAGCCCAAGATGCCAAACAATCGCTGCAGACCCTTTCGGAAAATATGGAAACAGAGTGGAAGCTAGCGGCATCTCGGAAAAGTTGGTACACGGACACGTCGTCTATGATTATATTGGCTTTGCCAAGCACGGATCTGGGGGAGGGAATGGGCGGGAGTCTAACGCATCATAGGGACAAGGGGGAGCGGGTAGGAGGTCGCTACACGCTGGAGGCGCGCAAGGCGTGCGGGCGGATAAGAGCCATGTTGAGGCGCGTAGCACAAGCGCTGATCAAAGCCAGGACTCGAGGGCAATTGGGGCAGACGGAGGAGCGGGGCAATGAGGGGGAACAGCACCATGAGGATGAGGCGGAGGAGTGCGACGATGATGCCCGAGTCTGCTGTTTCCTTTGTCTTTTGCCCCTGTTCATCCTTCCTTCTTTCCTCGCTATCTCCATTCGTTTCCTTCCTCATCGGCCATCTTCTCATCATCCTGCACCTCCCCCTCTCCCGCCCTCCGCCTCGCCCGCGCGCGGCCCCTGCTAGCCGAGGAGCCAAAGTTCGAAGCCAAAGTGGTTGGAGAATTTCTGGGAACACGCCGAGGAGGGGATGGGGGGCGAGCAAGAGAGTACGGCAGTGGAGCATTTCATTCGAAATTCATGTGGAGTTCATTCGGACTTTATTCGGAGATCTTCGACCCTTAACTTCGATCCGCTCGCTTCTGCACGTGCCTCCTCCTCCCCCCATATCCCCCTTCCCCCCCGAATGGGGCGCAGGGGAGGCCAAAGAAGATAATTGCTCGTGCGACTTCGACAGCGAGATGATGGCGGGAAGGGGGGGCGCATATTGTTTGTGATTGTACCTGCATTCTAAGAATCATGGTAGCGCATGTTGGGCTGTGTTGTTTGTTGCTCTTTCCAAGGGCAGGGCAGGCCGTGGCTCGAAAGTTAAAGAACGGCGGACCACCAGTGTATTCTACTGGCCTCGCAGATAATGATGGCGACGAAGAGGTCACAGTAAATTTCGAAGACGGCGATTTCTATACGATACCTGGGATGACCCATAAGCGTGGGAAGGACATGATGAGTGTGAAGCAGCAGAAGAAGGGCAATTATTTATGGGAGGTTGTGACAGCAGAAAAAGTGCGGGTGACAGTAGAAGTATTCCATAGAGTGATCAGCGATGTAAGGACTCGTCACTTGGGATTGTTTGTTTGGGGCTGTCCGCCTCCAAAAAAGAAGCGCATGGTCATTCAGATGGCGGTCAAAAGTTGGTTCAATAGTGATGAGGTTGATTCTATGTTCAAGAAGTTTGGAGAGCAGGTCGCAGGCGGACATGAATCAAAAGATGAGTTTGAGCAGGCGAAACAAGAATACATCAGGAAACACGGCGAAGGAAAAGGCATGAAGAGGCCCGCCGCTGCGACAAAAGAAGGGCCCGAGAAACCAGAGAAGGCCGATGGCGACGCGCCGAAAGACAAGACAAAACACAAAAAGGTCGACGAAGAACCGTCGAAAGACAATGAGGACGAAGATGGCACACCTGGCGAGGGCGAGGGAGAAGAGGAAGAGGAAGAGTATTACGAGGAGGGCGAAGAAGAGGAGCAGGAATACGATGAAGAAGAGGAGGAGGAGGAAGAGGAGGAAGCTGAGGGCGAGGTGCAAGCGAGAGATGAAGAAGATAATGGCGACGACGCCACGACGAGAGAAGAGGAGGGGGAGGGGGGCAAGGAGGGCGAGGCTACGGCGCAAAAAAAAAACAGCTGGAAAGCAGAAGTCTGAAGACACCGATAGGAAGAAAAAGATAAAGATACAGAAGAAAAAGAAGACGCCTGAAAGCCTTAAGAAGAAGAAGAAGACGAAGCAGAAGACAGAGGCAGCTGTTGTGAAGCCACAGACACCTGGGGGGAAGAGGGGCAAGCGCGATGATAAACCTTCGCCTGACAAGGGAAGCGCGGGCGACTGCCAGAAGATGATTGATTTAGAGTTCGGCAATGATTGTCTTACGTGAGGAATGGGAGGGGTGGGGCGCTGCCGTAGCATCTGAGATATTGTGCGTTAGGGGTGCTATCTTGCGGTAGGGAAGTGTCGTCGTTCTGATCGTCGCCCCCCCCTGTCGTCGTCGCGAGGGCCGGCAGGTAAAGACCAAGAACGAAGCTGGATAAGACAAATATAAAGACAAAGATAAAGACAAATATAAAGACAAAGATGAAGACAACAAGAAAGACAAAGAGAAAGATACCGACAAAGATAAAGCTCGAGTGAGTGATAGGGGGTGGCGCTCGGGAGGGCAGCGAAGTAGAATAGCGATCGAGAGTCCTTTGATAGGCGACAGGCTGCGTCGCCCCCTATCCAGGATTTCGCCCGCATACTGGTTTTGGGGGAGGGGGGCAGCTTTCAGTGGCCTGGAGCTTCTCCAAGGAACTCAATCCTGCGATGCCGCGCGCGCGCTTGGATATTGATTCGGCGCTCGACTTCGGGCGCCCGCGTCTCTGCAGGAAACGTCGGGCGACGGCGATCGAGGGCAATCGGTCTCGCACCTCTTAATCCCCGCGCCCACGTCTCTTGTTGCCCACGCCCGTTTCCACCCCCCGTTTCACTCTTCGCCGTCCTCTTGACCGTTGTCGTCGTCGTCGTCGTCGTCGTCGTCGTCGTCGTCGTCGTCGTCTACGCCCGCCGCCTCGCCGCCTTGAGATTCCAGCAACGGTTTGGCAATCGGGCGCGCCCCTGGCGCCTGCAGGGAGCCGCGCGCGAGAGCGTTCTAGGACACGGGGGATCAGGTAAAAGTGCAATCGGATGTGATAAGGACAGAGAAGATGGCAACGCACGGATGACGACGACTAGACGAAGAAAATCGGGAGGTGGAGGAAGGGGCATGGCAGGAGGTAGGGTGACACAGCGGAGAACGAGGATCGGTGTGAGAATGAGACGAATCCACCAGGGCGCCAGCGGCGCGATGGCGGAAGAAGCGCCCCCAGAAGGGAGGGCGCTGGCGGACGGCGAGGTGGCTCCCGAGGGCTCCCAGACCCAGCAGGAATCCCAGCATCAAGGGTTCTTGACCCTGGCCGACGTCCCACCAGATATGCTCGAGGAGCATGTGAGGGCGTCGCAGAATATGGCGATGGAGATGGACGACTTCGCGATGGCGCAGCGCATTCAAGAAGAAGAGGACGGCCCACCCTCCGCGTTGCACCTCTCCCTTGTCACCAGTTTGCGGGTTCGGGCGGCAGCGCGGGCGAGGTGGGGAGGGGATGCGAGGTGGATTGTTGGAATGGCAAGGAAAACGATAGGGGTGGGGAAGATGGGAGAGCGGAGTGGCGAGAGAGCGGGGTCCAGCGGCGCAGGAGCAAGAAAAGGAAAAAGTGGTGCTGGAGGTGGAAGACTCGCCCGAGAAGCCGAAAGATGGCGAGGCCCCGAGTGATGGCCACCAGCCTTCGCCTGTCGTGGCCCCGATCGGATGGATTCAGGCGAAGAGAAAGGCCAACGCGCGCGAGGGTGAAGACCCAGAGAGGTTCGCACGCGACGGCGCCCCACCGCCAGCTCGCGACCCCGAGCCACCGAAGAAACGAAACTGGAAATTCAGGGGATCTGAGGACAGCTTGTCGGATGCGCTGCTTCTGGCGCATATGCACGGTGGGGAGGGCCTGGGAGGAGGTCGCATCCCTGATGATACCTCCAAGGGCAAGGCCGATGAGTCCAATGAGGAAGGGGGCGATGCGAATGGGGAAGGAAAAAAGAAGAGGCGTAGGAGAAGGCGCAAGGAGGCCCCGGACGGTGACGAGAGGAAGGAAGAAGACAAGAAGGAAGAAGAAGGCGAAGCCAAATAAGGTGAAGACAATGAAGAGGGTAAGAAGAAGAAAAATAAGAATAATAAGAAAAAGATGCAGAAGACGGCCGAAGTGCGCGGTCAAGAGGCTGCCGCCAGAAAGCCAGGGGGGTTGAGGATCACAGGGGATTGATGGATGAAGGGATAGAGGGGGGAAGCGGTGAGAGTCAGCAGCGGGGGGAAATGTATAGCGCCGAAATAGGGTTCGCGCCGCAGGCTGCTGCGGCGACGCCGCATTCGGCAGGGACGGCGGCTCCAGTGACGACGGCGCAGAGATCCACGACAGCACCCACGGGCAGCGCGGCCCCGAGCCCTACGGCCACGGACAGCGCAGCCCCGACCCCTGCGGCAGCTGGAAAGATGGAGCTCGAATCCGAGATCCAGCGCCGCTGCTGCTGCCCCTGATCCTCCTCGAGCCTCTGCCCCGCCCACATCTAGTGCTGCTGCCGCTGTTCCCCTCTGTTATGTTTATTCCTCCTCGCCCTTCATATTTGATTGCGAGCTTCGAGGCCCCCCTCCCGAGATTATGGGCATCGGCATCTTACTTTGGTTTGCTTGCGATTCGGCGGTGCGTCCCCCTCCTCTTCCTCGACCCGCACTCTGCCCCACGCGCCCCGCCCCCCCGCCCATCCCCCCGCAGGAGGTGCCCCAGGAGCTGGCTGGCCACGGCGGCGAGACGAACCCAGGCATCGAACGCCCGATCGTCGCCGACGTGCAGCCGCAGCTGGAAGGCAAGCTGTGGCCGAGGGCAGAGAAAAAAAAACGATCTCGTCGATGTCGGCGTGGAGGGGGCACTGCGTCGCGGAGACGTTCGCGTCGTCGAAGGCCACGCGCCGAACGACAAGGAATCTCTGCTGACCGAGCTGCATCAAGAGCTGGACGCGATGAACCAAGACGTGCTCTTCAAGGGCACTGAAGAACAATCTATGGAGCGCATGAGTCAGGTCCTCACTCAGTTCTTCAACGGCGACCTGGTGGGCAAGGTGCAAAAGCTGAGGAAGGAAGATGCGAAGGCTGCAAAAGAAATCGAAAAGGATGACCCGCTCCCCGAGGACGCCGCGAGGGACAAAGCCCTCTTCGAAGAATTGGCCCTTAATAATTATTATTTCACTACGCAGACGACGGCAGGGAATGCGATCGGCTCGCGATGGGCGCGGGCAATTGCGGCGTCAGATAAGCTGAGAAGGAATTATGCGAAATGCCAGGGGTGGGCAGAAAGCCGTGACTTCCGAGCAAAGTGGTGCAAGAAGTTGCACAAAAAGCATAAGGCGCGCTGGGAAAAGAGAAAGGAGGAAACGTTCGAGAAGACCGAGATGAAGGACGGGAAGTACATCTCCCTCGGCCGCATGGCCTTCCTCGAGGGAGGCGGGTCGGCTGGCCTGAAGGCCGCGTTCAAGTACGCAACCAACGCGATTCTGGTAGGGGGTATGTACGTCAAGTGGGACGAGTGGACAGAGTCGGTAAAGTTCCTCTACCTTACACACAGGCTGAGGGAATCGTTCAAGAGGGCATGGAGCACTTTCCAGTCGTGGCAGGGCAAAGGTGATATTGAGGACGCGCAGTTGCCCGCCAACGAGGACGACGACGACGACGCCTCGACCAAGGCTTCCACGAAGGATGAAGAAGAGGAGGAAGAAGAGGAGGAGGAGGAAGAGGAGGAGGAGGAGGAAGAAGAAGAAGAAGAGACGCCAAAGAGGAAACGCAAGAAAGTGAAGAAGGGCCCAAAGGTCAAGAAAGACAAGACGAAGCAAAAGACGAAGACGGGCAAAGACACTGGAGGCGGCAGGAAGAGCAAGGGCACTAAAGGCGAGAGGAAGGGCAAGGGCACTAAAGGCGGCAATAAGGGCGCTAAAGGCAAGAAGGGCGCTAAAGGCGACAAGGGCACTAAAGGCGGCAAGAGGACTGGCAGGAACGGCACTGAAGACGGCACCAACGGTGACCAGAAGAAGAAGATGACTTCCACGCCCCCCTGGCCCAAGGAGTTCAAGCAGGTCAAATCTATGTTCGACACGTGCAGCCTGCAGTACATGAGGATCCACGAGAAGGTAAAGAAGGACCCCCAATGGCAGTGGGCCAAGAAGTCTGGCACGGAAGACCTGGACAAGGCCAACGCGAAGGCGCGTGCCCACGCCATCCCTCCCTCGCCCCTTTGCCGCCCTCATCCCGTTCCCGCCCCAACTATGTTTTTCCCTGCTCGTCCCAATTCTGCATGTCTCCCTGCAGCCGCCCGCTACAGGTTTAAATTTGACATCCCCGCATGTCCCCCCCCCCTGCTTCGCCCCTTTGCTCGCGTGCTCGCGCCGCCCGCTATAGGTGAATGATCTGCTGCAGAACAACGCCAACATCTCCCGCATCATGAACACCGAAAGCTCCCAGATGAAAAAGTACTCGAAGGAGGTTGGGAGCGGGGTGGGGTAGCGTGGGCAGTGGCAATGGCAGCAATCGCACCCTTCCTATTTGCATCCCTCGCGTCCTCCACTTGGCGCTCTAAAGCAACCCCTGGCCCTCACCCGCAGGTCGGGGAAGCAAAGTTCCAGCTGAGAGCCAAGAGAGCAACCCAGGTGCTGACGGATCCCCTGATCAAATTGCAGAAAGAATGCAATACCATGGAAGATATGACGGCCGCGAAGGTGGCAGCAAGCGCTTGAGCATGTATATATACGCACGGCTAGCGGCAGGCACATATGTCTCGGGTGCGATGTTCGAGCTCGAGGGGGCCCCTGAGAACAGAATGCGAGACCCAATGGATTAGTTCTGCGAATAAATTTTGAGATCCAGCGAACGAATTTTGAGATCCTGCGAATGAATTTTGATATTAGCGAATGAATTTTGAGATCCAGCGAATAAATTGTGGTGCCCAGCGAATAATTTCCGAGATCCAGCGAATAATTGTCGAGATCCATCGGATATTTTGCGAGATCCATCGAATATTTTGCGAGATCCATCGAAAAACAGAAAAAAAGAGTGGCGAATAAAAGGCGAATAAAAGGCGAATAAAAGGCGAATAAGTCCGAATAAAACAGCATCAAACCATATATATATATATATATATATGTACAAACATGACAGAATAAAAGCCGGATGAAAGCCGGAGAAAAGCCGGTTAAAAGTCAATAAATTGAGAAACCTGGGGGACTCAGGAAAAACAAGAAAACATCTCGAGATTCGCCCCGAAGATATCGAGTTACATATGCCAGCCGCAATGCCTCTTCCGAGTGCATGGGGTCCAGAAGTCGTTCACACGCCGCCGAAGGCGCTTGGGTAGGTTGCTATAGGTGCATTTGCGCTTCCGCTGTAGGGTAGCGAGAGCGCTAATGTGAATCTCGGCAGGGTGCTGGGATCGAGTGCGCAACTGATTTTGATGCGTGCAGGCCGGTGTGTGTTTGACCTTTGCAAGGCTGCTCCGATACCGATAGCAGCCGAAAGCTGGATAAAAACGCTTGCTTGAGTTCTGATGGGAGTTGTATACACGCATGTATGCGCGCGCATTTTGTGGCGCACGTGCGCGCGCTCTCCTAAGCCACAGAGCCCAAGCCATGGGGGGGTTTCGGCACGCGCCTTCTCAGCAGTATGTCCGCGACCCTGATGGCATGCAAAAGCGTCGAGCGGGGGCTAAAGCTTTGGACCTTCTACTAGGTATTTATGGGTCCTGCAAACGGATGTCGGCCCAGGACTCCGCGGTGCTCTGCCATTATTTTCAAAAGTGCGAGGCGCCAGGTGGCGAGCGGGGGAAATATGCTAAGGGGCCAGGGGGCAGCTCGGGCAGCTATAAGAAGCACGTGGACTCCAGATTTCCCAAGCCACCGCTTTATTATGCAGATAAAGTGCCTGCCACCATAAGAAAAGACGCACGAAAGAAAACGATGCAAATCCCATTCCGAAAAGTGTACAGGACTATCTGCGACGAAGTTGTGGAAAGCGATTATATATTACAGACGCTGAAAGATGGCGATATTGACTCGCCATCGAGTGTGATGAGCCTCCCAGGGTACCTCAACCACCCCCATGTCGTGCGCGCCAGGGAAGCTGGCGAGGACTATCCTCTCCCCTTGGCCCTCTATATGGACGGCGTTCGATATGCGGGCCAAGCAGCAGGACGACACAATGTGGTGGCTCTCGCTTTCCGCCGAGCCCAATTCTAAGACCCGCTCCCCATTGCCCTGGCCCCGAACCCCCATGCAGTGGCAAAAACGTCCCACATGTGTTTCCCTGGTCTGAATTGCCCAGACCCCGTCAACCCCGAAACCCCTTGACTTATGATTTGTCCTCCAGTGGGGGGTCGAAGATAATATCCTCGGCGTGTCAGTCATAAATTTGATTTCGGGCCAACGGCATTTGCTTGGTTTCCTGAGGAAAGATTCGTTGTGCTCGTGCGGGTGCTCAGGGTATTGCTCCGTGCACTCCCTTTTGAAGGTTGCAGCGTGGCAGCTTCAGTGCCTCGTCGACGGCACCCTCCCAGACCATGGGCACGACGGCGTGGAGATGGGGGGTAAAAATTTCGACCCTGGGCCCAGGAAGTTTCCGTTCAAAAGCATGGTGATGTATATCAAGGGCGACTGGTCGGAATACCAACATTCCATGGGTCTAATGCCTTGGGGGCCCATCTACAACTGCTGCCCCCTGTGCACCGTGACCAAAGATTTGCGGGACGTCGCGTACCCAGGGATGGTGACCAAAGACGGCCTCGAACACAGAGATAGAAAGCACCACGAGTATTGCGAGGCATGCTCACGGCGAGAACACGTTGTGAACGTTGCGAACGATCGCATTCGCGACGCCCTGGCCGACATTCTCCACGACGACGGGAACGGGAAAGGAAGGGTGCTCAAAAAAGATGTCGATTTGCCCGCTCTGAAGCTGAAGCGAGGCGATCGGCTCGAGCCCTCGGACGAGCTTTTAACGCCAGCTGGATTTGCAAGCACGCAGACACCTTTTAATGCTACTTTCTGGCGGCAGTCTGTGGATAAATACAATAGGGTTATGGATATATGCAGCCACAGGAGCCCGATATTCAACGACGATCTCGGCACGTCCCCCGCTCGATCGCTCGCCATCGGTGGCCTCCACTCCGTATATCTCGGCCCGATGCAAAGAGTTACAAGGGCTGCCTTGCAAAGGATTCTAGCTGCAAACCCATGGAAAGTAAAAGACAGTGTAAGGATCAAGAGACTTGAAGCAGACATGCATTCTTATTTCGATCGCACGCGTCTCCCCCCAGAACGTCGGATCGGGCTGCTGGCAGAAAAAATGATCGGAGGCATATCAGACGACAAAGAGGATAAGGGGGGGATCTTGAAGATGAAGGCAGCTGAAACATACACTATGTTACTGTTCACTATTGACAGGTTGAAGGTTTTCAATATTGGTATACACAAGCATACGTCATTACTGCGTGCTTGCGAGGCTATGGCTGCGTGGGTGCGGCTGACACGAACCGCCCCGACGCAGTTGTCGACTGTGGAGTTCGATATTTTGCTTGCTAGCTGCAATACTTTTTTGGTGAGCGCCGCAGATGCTGGCGTTGCCCCGACGCCAGAATTCCACCTCTTCGCGCACCTCACATGCAGGACCCGCGTTTTGGGGTACCAAGTCTGGCGGTGCCCCCCAATCCTCGTTTTGCATGTTGTTATCCTTAGCCTACTCATTCTTCGCCGCCCCCTGTCCTACTTACCCCGCTCTTCCCCACTCCTCTTCGCCCGCTCGCCCTGTCCACTCTCTCCGATTACGGCAACCCGCGGGCGGGGTGGGGGGTGCGAAGAGTGAGCCAATCCTGGATGGCATAGCAGGTGGGGGAGGATGGGCGATGTCTCTATAGTGTGTAAACAATCCCCAGAAGCTGGTATCATGGCAACCCGTCCGCGTACGACACGTTTATCGACGAGGGGCTTAACCTCGTGCTTCGAACCTGCGCCGAAAGAGCCCACCCCCTGACAATCCATAAGTCGGTTTACTTGTGTTTTCAGATAATAGGCACCCTAAAAACCAACACCCACTTGTATGCATCGAGCCCCGTGAAAGACATGGACGAGGAATCCGACAATGGCGAACCTCCTGGAGATGACCAGCCACCAGAGGAACCGCCGCACCCCCCAGGACCCGCGGCTGAAGGGGAGCAGGGAGGAAGGGAATGAGGATGGAAGGGAGGGAACGGATGGAAGGGAGGAGGGCATGAGGATAATTAAGTGCGTGCGTGCGCGCGCAGAGAAAGCGCGCATCCGAATATAGGATGCAGGAGTGTTTGAATGAGTTGTCAATCCGCATATGCACGCGACCATGTTGACTGCACCTGTTCGTGAAAATAACGCGCACGCGCACGGGGGGAAAGGGGGGGGGGAAGGCGAGGCTGGGCTTGTTTCCTGGCCAGGAGTTGGGAAACGGGATCGGCGAGACCGACGCCCTCGCGGGAAAGAACCAGACGCCTTGGGGCATCTACCGAAGAAACCGCGCGCCGCTGACTGACGGCGCAAGCAGGTCATATTTTGAGCAGGCGCCGAAAAGATGCGGACAATAATAGGGGGCCCCGCTGCTTTGCTCCTACCGCCGCCCCCTATCATTTCTAACTTTCCTCGCCGCCATCGGCCCAAAGTTGACCTCAACCCAGGGGGCGGGGCGCGTAACCCAGGGGTAGAGATGTCCTGGTCTGGTCTCACCAAAGAAGCTGCTGAGGCTCTGCGAAAGGTGCCCTGGGACGCGGACCCAGAAGACGTGCTGAAAAGCCTGGGGCGACAGGGGGTTCCGATATGGTTGGGATCGCATACAAAATTACGTATAAAGACCTTACCAGTCCCACCATTTCCTCTGTCCCGTGTCTGACCCTGGCTCGCTCCCGAGGTCGCCCAAGGATGACGCCCAGCTGACGGAAGCCGAAAGGAAGAACAACGGGGCGACCAGCTCGAATTCGAAAGGAACCAGATCGAGAAAACGCTCTGTGAGTCGGCGGAAGGTGAAAAGAAGGCCCTCGAAAGGCTCCGAGCCAAACTGAAACATATCGAAGAGCAGGGGGATGCCGATGGTGCTGGGGGTAACCAAACTATAAATCGATCTTTCAGTCGATGAAATTATTGCCAGCAGGAGGGGATGCGGGAAGAGGGATGGGGGCGGGTGGCGATTGGGGGCAAGGCGGAGAAAACAACAACGTGGAGGGTTGAGAGAAGAGGGAGGTGGAGGAGGGAACCGAGGCAAACCTCGTCGACTGAAACTGCCCAGAGTACCGTCAACATCCCCATGCAAGCTCGGCAAGCACAAGTGTGGAGCCCGACGAATGAACCCGAACTAGACTCAACCGGCTCGTGGCCCGCCGCCCTCTCGGCCGTGAAAGAGCGAGGGGTCCTCTGTATCTTCCAGATGCCTCTTCTTCTCCTCCAATCCCCCTGCCGCCCGCCCTCCAATTCCCCACGCGTGATCCATAGTGTGCCCGATCTCGGGGGGCGGGGGAAGACGGGGGGCGGAGGGCGGTGGGTTTCTTTGCTTTTGTCATTGTTCTTCGCTTCGCCTTTTGTCATCACTTTATATTTACCCTTTCTAATTCAAGTCCTTATAGTGATCTTTATATTTTCTCGTCGCTCCTTTCGCTGGCACGCCGCCGCGACAGGCGCGGCAGTTGGGCGGGCAAACGCGTCGCCCAAAGTCGTCGCCTGTCGTCGTCGACCGTCATAGGTCGTCGTCGTCGTCGCCGTCGCCGCCGTCGTCGTCGTCGTCGTCGTCCTTCGCATTCCGCGTCCGTCGTCGCCGCCGCCGTCGATCCGTCGCGGTCGCATCCGTCTCAACCGAGCGTTCTTGCAGGGCGGGGGGTCGCCGCCCGCCTGCGGTGCGCGGCGCCATGGGCGGCGGCAAAAGAGAAGACAAAGAAAAGGGCGCCAAAGACACATATGGAGGAGTTGTCCTTAAGGAGGCTGAAAAGAGGAAAGATAAAGAGCATAAGGGGAGAGGTGGAGGCGATAGAGTGAAGGAGAGAGCAACTGCAGAGCAAGAGAAATATCGTAACACATATATATATATATATATATATATATATATACATATATATATATACTCACGGGGAGGCAGAACAGGATAAGAACGCAAAGTGCAAGGCGGAAAAGGATAAGAAAGTAAAAGATAGGGCGGGAAAAAAAGTTAAAGAAGAAAAAGAAGAAAACACCCGGAGAAAAAATAACCTCCGCGAAGAGTCGCGGACGATGTGC